CCGCAGACATACCGCTGTGCCACTGGGGGTCAATGTATATGTATTCTGTGTATATGAATTATGTCTCAAAGTTTATTGAAATACCACTTCTAGAGACAGAATGCAAGTATATTGTATTATTTTATTTATTTTATGGCAAAGCTATTAAGCGTATCTACCGAAGTTCCTCATTTTGAACTGCTAACCAGGGGGAAGGCAGCTAGTCAGCAACATGCTATCAACCACCATCCAAGCTAAATTGATTAACTATCACTCTCATAGCGCATTCACAGCTTAAAATGCGGGACTTATTTTGTGGTTATTGGATACACATGACTGTTTAATATAAGAGTTATTATTTAGTTTGTTTAGTGTTTTAATATTTAATGATTATTTAGTTTTCATAACAAGAGTGTTTAAAGTTGATTATTCTAAAAGTGATAGTTATGACAAATTTCGTTACGTAACTCGGTAAGAGTTGTATTTTCTGGATGTAGTTCAATTGTTGTGAATTGACGTCACGTTACTCGAACATTCTGTATTTTTCTCGTTGCCTTAAGTGGGTATTGTTACATTATAGCGTCTCGTTGTTTTTAGAAAGCCCTAGGCCTCAGTTGGGCAATATATATATATATATATATATAGGAGACCAAGTGAGCGTAAATGGAGTTAAGTCAGAAAACGTTAAGTTAGTGAAAGTGAAGTTAGACTGCGTGATTGTTAGTTTAACCGCAGTGGGTGATATCTGAAGAGAGTTTCACAGTTTAACAGAGATAAAGAAGAAGAATTTGTCTTGTCAAAGGATGTTCTAAAGTAATTGAGCCCGTCTGTGTGGACTTTGACAAAAAGGAGATAACTATTTAAAGTTCGAGATACAATTGTGGTAACCCACAGTAAGTGAATCTATCACAGATTGTGCAGTAAAAAACAGAGTAGAGAGAAATATTTGAGTTCTAAGGTAACTGAACTAGCCTGTGTAGATATTTGACAAGAAAAGGGAATTATTCAAAATTTTAGATACAACTTTGATAACCAATACTGAAACTAATTTTTATACATACGTTTGACTTATTTTGAATATATTGTTTTAAAACAAGTGGATTGTGTGCTGTCCGTTTATTTTTTGAATTTATTGCCAAAAAGTCACAGACATCTACTTTAAAAAAATCCCAGCCCACTTATACTAAAACCTTAACAGTGGTATCGCACAAACTCGAACTTGTTTTACCAGCTCCTAAATCCAGAGCTCCACTACTGGTCAAACCCGCACCCACAAGGCTGTTGAGATATGACAATTACTTTTAGTTATTTAACTCTCACATTTTATCTTTTTTATCAAATGCTGGAGATAAAATATTATATAAACTAGAGTAGGGGACGTTTGGTACTATCTAAACTAGAATACGGGAGGTTTGATACTATTTATGCCAGAGTAAGGGACTTTGATACTCTCTATCCTAGAGTAAGGGGCGTTTGATACTATTTATACTGGACATTTGATATTTTTCAAACTTATATGAGAAGCTTTAGCAAAAGAACAGGTTTCAGAAGAAACAAAGTATAGTTACTCTTCATCTGTAATACGACCAATAATTTGTCACTATAAAATTTGTTTGAACACTGTGCGACTAATAAGCAGTTACTATAACATTTGTTAGAGAACTATGCGACTAATAATCATTTTAAAACTTATTAGAAAGCTATGCGAGTAATAATTAATCGCTATGAATTTGTTCGAGAGCTATGCGAATAATACTGTTGCGTCAGCGAGGTCACTTGACTAGTATCCCGCCACGTCCTTCTAGAAATATCCTGTTCCTTCATGAATGCTCTAGCATTTACTAGATATGTGTTAGTCTTGTATATATAAGACTGTCACAACGTGACGGGACGGAGTGTGTGTAATTGAACGGAGTATTGTTGAGTTGAGCACGTGAGACGTTCGTTGTGAA